GGGGGGGGGGGGGCAAGCCCGAGACACCGCAACCATCAACAGGAAAACACGGGGCACTGCAAAAAAACAGAGGCGCAACGAGTGCATCGGGAGAGACAGGAAATTGAGATATAACTAGGCAGTGAAAGCACACCACGTCCCTATTAAATTCAACACGAAACAGCAAAATCGGCATAAGCAATAGAAGCAGAGCGGCGCTTGCAGTCGCTCCACGACAAAACCCTCACTTGCAGCATACGAAGCCCTAAAAATAAAAAGAGAAAATCCCACATCTACCGACCACGCAACGACAACGATAGCGTTCCTAAGCGCCCCAAACACCAACAACGGCTACCCCGAAATAGCTTCCTACTAGTACAAACGCCACCACAACACTGAACGACCAAGTAGGCGAGAGAGAGAGACCAAACGCACCTGGACGATGGACAGCGTGGCGGCCGTCACGGGGTCGGAGAAATCGCCGCCGGGGGGCGACACGGCGCCCACGACGGTAACGGTCCCCTCCCTGCCGGGGGACCCGATGCAGCTCGCGCGGCCGGCGCGCTCGTAGAACGCCGCCAGGCGGGCCCCCAGGTAGGCCGGGTACCTGTTTGCGTCGTCGTTGCTCCGAATTAGTCGTGTGTTCTTGGAATCGAGTCGGGCTATTAGGTGAGGAGGTGGTGTTCGTTTCGGAGGGTGGGTGAAACGTGTGTTGCGTGACATGGTTCTTAGTATTGTTGACATCGACCGTGCCACGTAGCCGGTTGACCAGCGAAAGAAGCCGTCCAGAAACCAGAAACACTTCTAAAAGGTCATGACCTGGGACCCTGTGAGGGGGGGTTACACAAGGCTTGAGTGTATAGAGTTGGTTGAGCGTATAGGTTTGCGTCGCCCCCCTCCCGCCCCCGCCTCCGGAGGACAGCCAACCAAGCGCCGTGCCACAGGAGGACGACGAAAAGAAGGAAGACAAAGACGGCAGGGAAGCGCTCTCGAGAGACGGACACGACGACGACGACAAGCAACGCGCGCGCAGGCAGCACCGAAACAAAAAAATCGCTCGTGCCCGATAGATGTAATTTTTTCTCTCGGCCTCACCGTCTTTTTCATAATCGTCCGTGCTCTGCATCGGTATCACACGTGCTCCTCCTGATACACACCCTCCAATCTCTACATGCCCGTGTCTCTCATGCCTCGACCCCGATCCCCCCGCTCCGCCTCTACGCCTACTTCGTTCGATTCTCATCGTAAACTTGCGCTCTGTACCCCCGCTTTCGCTTCCTCTCACCCAGAGTCGGCGGGCATCTCTCCCAGACGCCCCGAGATCTCTCGCAGCGCCTCGGCCCATCGGGACGTCGAGTCCGCCATCATCGACACGTTCATTCCCATGTCCCTGTACATCGTTTTGGAAGGGGGGTTTAGAAAGACACGTCGGATGTTAGCTGTTGTCAGGGTGACGGGTTCAGAAGCGAGAATTTCGCGTCCAGAACGAAAAAAAAAGAGCAAGCATACTGTAGACGGAAGCACCAGCACAAACGATTTAATGGACGGCATGGTCTACAGACTGAGGCAGGACGGGGTATGCAGAGAGCCAACACGAAAACTGACTAGACTACAACACAGGGCAGGCGATTTCAACCAACAATTGGGGGAGGGGGGGGCGGGGGCAAGCGCAGAGGACGCACCAAACCACAACCACAAGCACTTCTAGATAATGCATGGTGAACGCAACAAGTGGGGTCTGTTGCCCACGCCCCCCTCGCCACACAGCATGCCAATGGGCCGGTTGGACGAAAAAAGGACACGGACAAACGGGCTCGTGCCGCTTCAAGTGCCGTGCGGGAGCCTCGCCCTTCGCGCATCAAGGCCGAAACAGAGGCCGCCGTCTCGGGGACAGGAAAGGGTGTACGCGGTGCAAAAACAGAGTAGTACTTCGGTATTCCCTCCTCTTCTTGAAGGTCACCTGAAGTACTCGGCGAGGGTGATGCCGGTGTAGATGGAGGCCTCACGGGCGGCCACGGGCATGTTGGACGTGTTGGCCACGAGGGTGGTTCGCTTCATGATACCCACCTCCTTGCCCTTGACGTCGATCGTCAGCTCGGGAAACTCGTTGAGCACCTTTCGAGTAAACGGACACGGCAACGAGGCGCCAGTGTTTGTTTTTTTTTACAGGTTGGAACCACAGTCTACATGGACAGGCAATAGAGGCATTGCTGCTGCCAAGTGCGACAGGAACACGCTTGCTTGAACACCACGCGCCTAGAAGGGTCTAATCCTAGAAAATGCACACGGGAGTCCCTAGAAGAGGCATTTGGTATGCTTCAACAGCGAGCTTGGGAGAAGGAGCTCCAAGCTGAACGACATATCTTGGGACGACGAAGACAACGCCCGATCAATCGCCTTTAGCTCCCGCGAGGCGTGTTCTGTTTACGTCGCTCAACCGCGCCTTTCAGCGACGATGGTATCACGCCCCACAACCATAGACCCCGCTCCTGCAAGAGCAAGCCATCACCCGCGGCAACGAACATGACCAAGCGCTTCTCGACCACACGCGTTAACGGACATCGGCGCCCCCTCTCCTCTACCCCACGCTCTTTTCCTCCTCGTGCTTGCACACACACACACACACATGACCTTGGCAAACCAGAAGAGATACAGCAATGTCGGGCCGAGGCTCGGGTTCTATGTTCTATTATCCTCTCTCTCTCTCTCTCTGCGGACACACGTCAGCAGCCACTGCTCCGTAGAAAACAAGCGTCCATGCACACGACGTTTCAAACGCGCTACGTAGGTTATAGAATACTCTTAAGCCGGGCATCACCACAAAGCGTGCCGTTTTTTTTCTGCACAGCGACGGCAACACGCTGCGGCACGCGCACGCACGTACCTCCGCCATCTCGTTTCCGCGCTCGCCGCAACCGACGTAGACGATGGCGTCGGAGTTGGAGAACTTGGAGAGCGACTGGGAGATAACCGTCTTCCCGCACCCGAAGGCACCGGGCACGGCGCAGGTACCACCCTGCACGGAGCTGAAGCGTGAACAAAAACACCAAGATTCGTGGCGCCACAGGGGGGGGGGGGGGGGGGGGGGAAAAGGGCCC